CAAAATAATAAATAAGCTAAGTGAATTAATGAATGTGAAGGTAGTAAACATTCATCTTATTAGCCCTTATTACTCTAATACCAAGAACAGCCCTTGGCAAAGATTTGTTGAATGAATGAGTACAGAGCAACAGGTCCAATTATAATTGGGGAGAGAAAAGAGACCAAACAAGACCCTTAGCCTTTCAAGTGATTAAGACAGTATCTTCTGGAGCACAGAGAGAAGGGAGGCAGAAGCATTTCATGTATCAAGGAGCAAATGATTGAACCTGACTCCACCAGGAGCTTTGGGCTGACTGTGGCCTGGGTGATGGCTCTAAGTACAAACCAAGAAGTACTAAAGCAGAAGGCCTGTGGCAGCAGGAGTCTGGCCCCGGCTATGAGACCCCAGGCTTGACCTTAGGTCACTATATGCCTCTTCCAGACATCCCAGGGCTGGGTTTTTCAAAATGTAGCTGCCATTCACCTCCGAGTTTTCTGTAAAGTTAGTGACAATTCAAAATCCTGGGCCTGACCAGAACCAGTGAATCAAAACCTCCATAGGAAGTATCCAAAACCCTTTGTTTTGAGCAATTCCACATTGCCCGTCAGGAATCTTTGAGACAGAACCTGCCAGTACCAGTAGGTGTCAGGGAGCCTGGAAAACACGGATTCTGGGACAGGGAGAACAAGGCATGTGACTTGGGACACTCAGCTGCCTTACCTAGTCCTCTATCTCCTGGGGAAGTGGATAATTAATTATGCCCACTTCATGGAAGGCAACAGTGAGGATCAGAGACACTGTAAGAGTCCTAGTCAACTGGACCTTCTGGCAGAATTTTTCATTTGTGCCATAGAGGAACCACTCAATAGGAGAACTTATTTTTTATTCTGAGTCTTCGCATATAAGACTTCACACATAGTCATTTTAGGCTCACTAGGTCCTTTCTAAAGCAGTGCAAATCACATACTAAAGGTGGAACAAAGGCCCCAAATTAGGAAGTGAATGATCCTGCATCACACAACAGAAGACCCTGGTGGCATCAGTAAAGGGCCAGGATGTGGAACAGTTATCCCTCTCCTCTTTGTGCAGTTGGGGTAAATTAAATGTCTCTTCTATGATCAGGCTAAATGTTGTTTTCGAGTCTGGAGTTCTGTTTGCATGTATATATTTTAAATAAATTTGATAATTGAGCCACAAATATTCTCAGCACACTTGGACATATTCAAATTACAGACTTCCGATCTAATGGAGAAAAATCACCAATATGGGCGTGAAAGATAGCTTTTGTCTGCTTAGTGCTTTTCACAGCCCTCGGATGGGTCTGTCAGCTTAATGGCCACTTCCGAAGCTGCTGGAAATAAGGACGGGGCAGCGCTGGAAATGAGACGACAGGAGGTGAAATCCCATGGTGACAAACTGTACTCCCTTTAAGAAAATATTTCATATTTGCCTGTAATTTAACTCAATAACGCAGTTTGGAAAAACACAAACCAGGTTGGGGTTATAACTCAGTGGTAGAGCTGTTTAGCATATGTGAGATCCTAGGTTCACTCCCAGACACCAAAAAAAAAGCAAGTTGGAAAAATGAGTATTTTTTTCTCTGGCTGCAGCCCTCCCTGCTCACAGCTAACAGCCAAAATTCCATTCCTGATCATGGGAGAGGCGCTTTTGGAGTCAGGGGGCTTAGGTCCAAATTTCCTTTGGCCTTCGTTTGGAGGTTTAGGCAACTATGGGGACAGCACTCATTCACAGTAGTCATTGCCCATCTACTATCAAATAAAAATCAAACTCAGACTTGGTAAAGAAAGATTTTTAGTTGAAAAGATTGTTGCAAGGAAGAAAGGGGCTCTAGCTTCAGGAGATAAACACTACTGCAAGAGAGAAGGCCTGTGTCCAACAGAGAGGTCCTGCAAACGCCCTCAGGGTTAGACAATGAGCATTTCTTTGGTAGGGAGGGAAAAGCAAGAGCAGGAGGAGGGCTGCAAGGATGGCAGAATGGGACGGAAGGGCACTCGGAGGCCGGGCTGTTCTCCAAAGGGGCTGTACAATCAGGGAGGGGCTGAAGGTAGGCCCACATTGAGGGGTTTACAGCAAGCAGAAAAGTATATCCAAAGTTTGGTTCATAAGCATTTCATTCTGATCACTGGGGATAAGCAGTTCAGTGGATCTCAAGAGACAAAGCATGAAAATTGAGAGTCTGTGTCTGACCTCATCATCAGTAAACAAGGAGGGGCCTATCCCTAAGTCTTACCTAAATCTTACAGGGAAGGGTGGCTTTTTGTGGTGACCTGTATTCTGGATCAGAAACAAAGATAATGGGAATTCGTTTTACTTTCACTGTTTCCCAGGGGCATAGTGCTCAGGTAAAATTCAAAACTGTCACCATACAGTGGAGGGAACAAAACCAGGTGGATTTTGGAGCTGTGACTGCTGGGCCCCTCATCACCGCCTTGGTGGGTTATGAAAAACTTTATTTCCCTCTCTCCTTAATTGGGAATGATCATCATCATTACCAGGAAACTGTGTCCTGACATAGCAAGGAACCAGCCCCTTTACTCCTTGGTCCTGGGTTCCTTGGGCCTTTGATGAAACAATTTAGCCAACACATGTGGCAGCCATGCAGAGGAACAGGCAGAATTTATTGTTAAAAAAAAAATAGAGAGCAAGGCAGACCATGTGGGGCACAGGAAGACAGAAGCCAGTTTGCTTTTCTCATGAATCAGCAGAAGCCATGCTGTGTCTGAGACAAGCACTTCAAGAAGCTAGTTCGAGCTTCCTGTAAGCCATGCAAACCAGGCGGTTCCCAGGAAGAGAGAAGCCAGCTCACCTTTCCTGTGAGCTGACCGGTTCATGGGCATTTCAATCAAGAACACCCCCTCCCCAAGCAACCTGCTGCTTCAGAGGACGGGCTGAGTTGATAGCAACTGAGGTACAAAAAACAGCTACATTCTTGTATTGATTGACTTTGCAGGACTAAGGCCAGTAGTCTGAGCATCTATTAAGAGGATAACAGTATGCAACATAGCAAATATGGGGGGTTTCCTTCTGTCTTGCTTTTAAAATCCAATATTGCTCTCAGTGTTTTTTTTCCAATTTATTGTTAAGTTTTGTTCAGTGCTCTGTTTTGATTGGTTTTACTCTGTTTTGTTTTACTTGATTTTACTATGTCTGAGGGAATGGACAACTATTGTGAAGATAACATGATATATTATGGTAGCCATTGTTGTTAATCTATTGTCCTGTTTTGAAGTTCTGTACCACTTTCACTGCTTTGTTTTAATTGGCTTTACTGTTTGTATTTTTGGGTTTCATTCTCTTTACAGTACAAAAAATAGAGAGATTTATGCATTCAAGTGAGAAGGGGCATGTCACAAAGATAACTGTCCTACATATGAGTCTGGGAACATTTTTATGCACAAAGAAGTTATTCTTAGGGTTCAGAGAACTATGATGGTCATTATAGTTTTATTTACATAATATGTATGTCTATGAGTATTTATTTTAGGAGTCACTCTGGAATGTCACTCAGAAATGTCTTCCTTGTTCCACTGAGGCTCTCAGTGTTTCCTCAGGGTCCTTAATTCCCCTATGAATCTAAATCAGGTCTTAGCCCCAAGAGGGAAAGTCTTTAAAGAATTTTCCCCCTTTCTGATATCATTTGGTGTGGGCCATTTGCACCCAAGAATGCCTTGCTTTAGAAAGTGGCCAGATATGGTAAAGAAAGTGCACAATGTGTAATTTTAAAATATCATTGTGCTCTGTGGGACTGCTTTAGGTCTGACACTTAACAAATGATATTAAGTCTTTGTTTCTTAATTATAACTGGCAAAGTACATTATTTTGGACCACGCCTTGTCTGTCAGACCAGCTAATATCTTATTGTATTGAGCTATGATTTTACCACTTCACCCCATACTGAGGACTGAACTCAAGGCCTTTGTCCTGAGTTACAGTCCCATCCCTTTGTTTTGTTTTTGGGGACAGAATCTTGCTAAGTTGCACAGTCTGGGTTTAAATGTATGATCCTCTGGCTTCAGCCTCTCAGTGGATGTTTTGTTTTGTTTTTGTTTTTGTCTTTTTGAGACAGGATCTCGCTGTGCATTTCAGGCGGGCCTTCAGCTCACTTTGTAACCCAGGCTGGTCTCGAACTTGTAAGGAACCTTCTGCCTCAACCTCCCAGGGGCTGGGGTCACAGGAGTAGGCCACCACGCGGGGCTCCAGTGGAATTTTGTACCTTTTAATCTGCCTTGTGTAAGAAAGAGGTGCTAGTTTAATACTTAAAATACACTGATCTGTTGCATTTGGGCAAGCCTCAGTTTCTTAATATACAAATAAGACACAATAACCTTTGGGGGGGGGGTACCGGGGATCACATGCAGAATCTTGTGCTTGCTGGGCAGCACTTGTGCTGATGAGCTAAATCCCAGGCCACAATAATCTTCCTACAGGTAGAGAGAATTAAGTAAAAATGAGGGGTGTATGGGGTCCAAACAATGTCAGACACATTACCTGTCCTGGTGACCTGTAAATCAGTCTCCATCCCTTCTCCCACTCTCTGGTCCCAAGATGAGCAATGCCTTGGGCTCCCTCTGTGCCATACTGCAAATCCCTGAACCTTTGAGTTCACAGGGAGCTCATGCTCAAAAATCAAATTCGCAGTGACTGCCACACCTCTCGGCATGAAGTAGAGGTGGTGGTACGTGCCCTGACCACCTGCGGGCAGCTGCACAAACCCTGGTCCTTTTCATTTGAACTGGCCATGGCAGCAGCCCTAGTGGGTTCATATTCTGGATCTGTGATTTTCCAAAAACATGTGGCCACTTTATTTCAATCAGCCTGTTTATCTCTTTGTAAAATAGGGAGAACTACAACCCCACGTAGATGTTGGAACTAGACAAAATGGTGAGTTGAACTTCTTTTATACGAATTTGCAGACCAAGCTCCAAAAAGAAAAACCCTCTCAACCATTGAAAGGAAGGGGCGGAGCCAAGATATCGGTCGCTCGGCGCTCCTCTAGGCACCCAGTCAAGATCAGACGAACTGCGAGTGATCGATGTTCCCCGAGCAATCCTGACTGCTGGGAGAGCTGCAGTGCTGGGACCAGGCGGAACAGGTTGTCGCCAGCCCCGGGTCACCAGTGACACCGTCCAAACGTTAGAGAGGTTAGTCTGAGCTACTCGAACACACAGGCTGCTCTGGCTCCTTAGATACACAGTAGTTGGGCTGGGAAGACTACTGTGCAGCCATCGCACTAAAGAGCCGTGTGTGGGAAAGGACAGTTTTGCGCATGCGCCTTGGGAATATACGCTGTTTACTTTGGGGCTCTCCAGCCTTCTGCGCTGTGGGCGGTTTGGGGAAACACCCGCCGAGCTTGGCTCTTGTGGCCGTCGTGGTGCGCGTGCGCGAGGCCAGTTTCTAGTCCTCCCTCCACCTCGGCTTACGAGCTGATTTGCGACTGCGCCGTCCTTGGGATGTGCTGTGAAATTTCCGCACGCTTTTGCTACCCGTAGTTACAAACGCGTTTGCGGCCACAGGTCTCAGCCCGCAGCTGTTCCCGTGCCAAGCAGCATTTGTTGCCCACTGGAAACAATTGTTTCATCGGGCCTCACATACGAACTAGCAGCAGTATAGCCCTGGAAAGACGGCGGGGAGGAAGGGACCGTCAGGCCTGGAGAAGTGGTTGGGGAGGATAGGTGTGGGATAGACGCACCTGTCGGCTGCAGGCCAGAAGTGGCATGGTTCAGGGGCAGGGCAGAGGAGAGCTGCTTATGGCACGGTGTCCAGGAAACAGAGTCAAAGGAGAAGCCAGAAAGGGAGATATACTTTCTGGGTCGTGCCAACAGCCAACTGCCTCTTCCAAGCAGAAGCCACCTTCTAATGGCAAGTCAGTTATACTGCCCCCTTAATCTAATCACCTTTCAAAAGCATGAAGCTTTGCGGTGACATCTAGATTTAAACTCAGCACCCCTCAAACTTCACTCCTTGGGAAAACCTCGCACCCCAGGTGGGGTGGGTTTGATACTGTCCAAAAACATGCAGCACAGACGCGGCACACAAAAGGAACCAACATTAACTGGTACTCAAGCCCTCTTTGGGCACACATGATTGACCGTGGAGCTTAGGGCACGTTGATTCATTTTCTTCTTGGTTTTAGTTTTCTTCTCAGCAAAATAAAAAGTTAGGGAACGAACTGCGCCATCCACCCACAGTACTGTAAGCTATAAGATTAGAAGGAAAAGAACCAGGTATAGTAGTACACACCTGCAATCCCAGCATTCTAGGAAGCTGAGACAAGAGGATTACAAGTTTGAACCCAGCATGGGCAATTTAGCGACTCAGCAAGACCCTCTTTAAAAATTTAAAAATGATTGGGGGTATAGCTTAGAGCAAAGGCCCTGGGTTCAATCCCCAGTTCCACTATCACCGCAAATGTATACATGATTGAGAAACCCTGATAAAGGCTGAAGAACTAAACAAGTATAGAGTTATTAACATTACTTTAGACCTTAGGACAGGCCTAGAAAAAGAGGCTGCAAAATGATAAGTGGGAAAAAAAGGTGTTATTCTCCTAATGTAGAGTGAGTGAGAAGATGTTCTCATCTCTAGAATGAGTAACCATCCTTCCTCACAGGCTTCCCTTGAGAACTAACCCAGGTCCCCAGGTCCATCATGTGCTAGCCCATGATTTTGTGCCTCTTTCCCCTCATCCATAAGGTCTTAGATTTGGGAGCCATAATGAGTTTAAAATCTCAGCCCTGCCTCTTTACTAGCTGAATTACTTTGGGCAAGTTATGTCCTTCTCTGCCTATATCTCCTGATTTGTAAATTGGAGTTGATAACGCTTCTCAGATTCTGTAAGAATTAATAATGATGACTAAAGTTCATTCAGTACCTGTGGTCTATAGTAAATGTTACCAGCTTCACAGAGTCACTGTGAAGGTTAACAATGAGCCAATCAGTGCAATGCTCTCAGTACTCTGTCTGCTATTACTGTGCTTCCTGAGTTGATGGGAGGCAAAGAGCTAAAGGTGAGCCCGAGGTAGGGATGGGGATGTGTAGGCCACCTCCAGGACCCTTTCTCTAACATGACCCTGCCTCCCTGTCTGCTGCTGGCTTTGTAATACACATTAGAGCTCTCTTCTTTTCTTTTGTGAGTCACCAACTGAATCCAGGGTTTGAATGTGTCCCTGAGAAGTTCTTGTGTTGGAAACCTGGTCTTCATTGCAGCAGTAGTGAGAGATGGGGCATCTGGGGAGAGTCAGGTGAGAGGTGCTTGGCTCTGGGAAGCTCTGCTCCCATGGGTAGTATCATCCACTGGTGGATTAATAGATTAATGGATTACAGAGGGCGTTATCCCCAGAGCGGGCCTATTGTTATAAAAGCCAGTTTGGCTGTCTCCTGTGAGCCCATCGCCATGTGGTGCTTTGCACCTGCTTGGAACTTTCCATTTCTCGCCCCTGGAAAGTCCCCTCCCCAGGTGCCAGTACCATGCTCTTTAACTCCCCAGCCTCCAAAACCATGAGCTAAATAAAGCTCTCTCCTTTATATATTACCCATCTAATGTGTTCAGTTATAGTGATAGAGTGTCTGTGAAATCTGGGTGGGATGTTAGTTAGATGTCTTGTGGCATAACAAATCATAAGTGTAGCAGTTTAGAAGAGCGTGCATTCATTCTGTCTAGCTTTGGATTATGGGCATGGCTAAGTAAGTTCCTTTGCACCGGGGTCTCACAGAGTTGCCATCCTATGTCAGTGAGGTGGAGTTCTCATCTGAAGGCTCTTCCAGAGACGGTTCTGAGCTTCAGGAGTATGCTGGCAGGGTTCCACTGCTGGAGGCCATGGGGCAGAGAACCTACGGGTCCTCACTTGCAGTTGGCTTACTCGGGTTTCTGCTGTATGGGGCCTCTCCTGAGTGGGCCTCTCCTGCACACTGAGTGTCAGCACCATGTGCAAGCCAAGAAGGCAGTCGAGAGTCTCCCCACAAGAGGCCGATTACAGTCCTGTGTAACCTAGTCACACAGAGGTGCCCCCTCTCCTTCAGCCTCTTCTGCAGGTGAGGAAAAGACCTGTTCTCTTTCTGCTGTGCCGTAATGCATCCCCACAAGCATGGGGCTGTGAACCAGTGGATTTGTTACCTTACAGCTCTGTAGGTACAGTTTGATATGGGTCTCACTGGGCAAAAATCTAGGTCTCAGTGGGGCTATGTTCCTTTTTGGAGACCAGAGGAGAGAATCCATTCCTTTGATTTTTCTCAGCTTGTACAAATGGTTCGCATTTCTTCTCAGCTTGTGGCCCCCTTCCTGTCCTCAAAGCTAGCAGTGTTACACTGCTCTAAACTTTCTACAAAAACACATGTTCCTCCAGTGCAAGTTTAGCTGGGAGCAGTTTTTTTAAGGGGTCATCTGTTAGACTGGGCCTGTCCAGGGAATGCAGAACATCTTCCCATCTTGAAGTCTATTTTCAATGTTCTTGAGAGGTCCTTCTGCCCTGTTAGGTAACATATGCACAGCTTCTGGAAACTAGGATATGGACATATGTAAGGAGCTATTGTTAGAAATAATAGTAAACATAAAAGTTACTGTATGAGAGCAAGCTAACTTATAACAAGCATCAACACTTTGTGACTAAGCACATTTATTTCTTGCTCATGAACTGTTCCAGTGTGGAGATTCCTGAGTGGATGGCCCTCCCAGGCTTCTTCACCCCAGCTGGCAGTTTCCTGTCTCCATGCGGCTCTGTCATCCCCAGGAGCCTCAGAGTCCTTTAGTTGCAGCCACTGGGTAGGTAAAGTGTGTATGGGTGCTGTAGGAGGATTATGCGCTAGGCCCAACAGTGACAGGTATCACTGCTTTGACATTAACTAGTGCTCAGCGTGGTATTCAGTGGCAGGTGAGCCCAGGAAATGGCCTGTGTGCCTGGAAGAAGATAAGAGAGTTTCGTAAGGATAGAGTAGGGCTTGGCAAACTACATATGGGCTACCATCTGTTCTTATGAATAAAGTTTTATTGGAACACAGCCATACCTGCTGGTTTATGCGTGGTGTGTAGCTGCCACCCTCAGGCTGAAGTGATGGGATAGTGGTAATAGTGACTGTGTGACCTATAAAGCCTGTAGTATTTCATAGCTAGTTCTTTACCAACTCCCAGCTTCACACTTTTTTACAAAAAGCATGAAGGACCCTGTCATTCAGCATCAGGTGAGGTGGAGGATGTGTCTTTCTCTGTTATAAGTTGCCAAGGAGAAGAGGTTTATTTGTCTCACGGTTCTGGCAGCTGCAAAGTCCAAACAGCATGTCTCCCACAACTAGCGAGGACCCCCAGCTGCCAGCTGCGCCACACCATGCCAGAGACGTGGAAGGGAAAGCAGATGCCAGCACGGAGGCCAGACGCATGGGCGGCCTCACTCTCTAAACTGCTCTCATGGTAACTGGCCCCTCCTGCACTGCGGCATTAATGCCACCAGTGACCTCTCACTTCCCACCATGCTGCGCCTCTCAAAGGTTCCACCATTTCTCAGCATTGCCACCTTCAGGACCAAGCTTCCAGCACATGAACCTTGGGAGGACAAGCCACCTCCATACCATGGCAGACGTCACAGCTGTTACGATGAGACATGCAACATGAAGCACATGAAGAAACCATGATAGTGTGTGAATAGTAGTAAATTCCCTTCACGTCATGGTACATGGCTGCCATCCATTCACAGTGCCCAGGCTAACGCCACCAAAAGCACCAACAGTGACGTTTCCCTTTTTACACAGGTTTTCTGTGTTTCCAGATATCTTCTGAGTTGGCAACTGTTACTGCAGCAAGTACCTGACATGAGTCAAATGTAGAAGGGAAAAGGTTTACTTTGGCTCATGGTTTGAGAGGTTCCATCCAGGGTTACCTGACCCTACTTCTTTGAGCCTGCGGCATGGTGGGAATGGCAGAGAGGCCTCCCCTCTTCACAAGAAGTGGGCCGGGGTCTGTGTATCCCCTTCAGCAGCACTGCCTACAGTGAGCTGACTACCACCACCTCAGCCCATTCTGACGGTTTCTCCTGTTGCCACAGTTGAGGACCAGCTCTTAAGCACAGGGGTCCTTGTGGGGGCACTTCCTGAGAAGTTATGCAGTCAGCTCCCTATTGAGCACCTGCGCTGAGCCTCTGGGCTCTGGGGAAGTGGGGAACAGACCTGTGCTGGCCCTGGAGGAGCTCCTGACTAACACTGCAGAGACAGCTGTGAAAGGAGCTATTTGTACTTATATCCCATGACAAGTGCTATCAGAGAAACCCAGGGGCCCAGGGAGCAAAAACACTGGTGAAAAATTCCACAAAGCTTTACATAGGGCATCATTTAAGATGGGCCTGGAAGGTTGGGTAGGAGTTCTCTAGGCAGAGGAGGGGTGTTGGAGGCATCCCAGGCCAGGGCAGTACACATGCTGCTCTGAGAAGACATCCGTCCAGAGTGACTGATTGCCAGGCATTGTGCCAGGCCCTGAAAGTAGAGCGGTGTATGCAGACAGAGGGTGCGGTGCTTATGGAGCTCGTGCCCAGCGGAGATGACCTCCTGCAGAGCATTGCAGGGCACTGAGGTCTCTGGCTGGTCTCCTATTCTTGTCTTGTTCCCTCTCAGGTGCTGATCTGACTGAACTGGCCTGGGCCACATGGCAGAAGGTACCGACGGCCCCGGAGATGCCCTCTGGGAGGCCCTCGTGGCACTCCTGCCGCCCTCAAAGGAGGACCTGAAGCTGGACCTCGGTGAGAAGGTGGACAGAGGTGTGGCACTGCTGCTGCAGCAGGCGGTAGAGCTGTTCCACGGGGGCCAGCAAGGCGAGTGTCTGCAGGCCAGTGAGGCCGCCCTGGACTACGCCTGGGAAAAGCTCAACACCGGGCCGTGGCAGGACGTGGACAAGGCCTGGCGACAGGTGTACGCGTTCAGCTGCCTCCTGAAGACCCTGTGCCTGTGCCGGCCACCTCGGGAAGCCACGGCTGTGGCCGCAGCCCTGCGAGTGTGTGACATGGGCCTGCTGATGGGTGCGGCCATTCTTGGGGACATCCTCATCAGAGTCGTGGCTGTCCTCCAGGCACATTTGGTATCTGGAAAGAGGCCTAACTGCAGTCCTAGCCAGCAGCTGTCCAGCCAGGAACTGTCCAGCATGAAGGTATCTGTCACTGCCTACACAACCCCTTGTTCTTGGAATTATCGCTTCTTTCCCCAAGGGCTGATCACATACACACACACACACACACACACACACACACACACACACACACACTCAGATGAAAATAGTGCTTCCATTAATTTGGAGAGTGGAAAAGAAAAAAAGTTTCCAGTTTCCACAGTAGTGGTATTTTAGCAGGAGGAGGGTGGGAGTTTTGTGGTCCTGAGAGAAACAGTGTCCAGGGGTTCATGTGGCAGAGCCAGCCTGCCCTTGGCCAACTTGCCTAGCCCCCACTTCCTCTCCTTGAGCCCATGTAGTGCAGCACATGTCAGAATCTGCTGTGAGCTGTGTGGCCTGTGGGGGTTGCCTGCAGTTTAGGTGGTGTTTGGGTATTTTCTTGTTGCTGGAACGAAATATATGACACTCACAAATTAAAGGAAGAACAGTTTATTTTAGTTCATAGTTTGTAAAGATTTCAGTCCACAGTGGGCTCATTCCATGGCAGAGGAGAAAGAGTTCATATGGCAGGCACGGAGCAGCACAGCTTCCTTCTTTCCCTTTTTATTCCACGTAGACTATATGCTTATTGGTTGGTGCCATCCACACCCAATGTGAGTATTTCTCTCCAGTAAGTCTATCACCGACAGCCAGAAACCTGGTAAACCAATCAGAGGGCAAATCCAGTATCACACAGCCCTGATCCACCACTATACATCCATGATCCAGTGCCACCTATGAGCACATGAGGCTTTCGGGGGATATTTAGATATAAGCCATAACAGCTGTCTGTGCCTAGAAGTCCCTTTTAGACCAGTGAACCAGAAGGCTCCAGAGCCTGGGCATGACACAAAGGCCTCATCACCTGGCAGGCCAGTTCCTGCCCCAAGCCTTGGTTTCCTTGTCTGGAGAGTAAAAGTTAGATCCCCCAGCAGGAGAAGAGTAAGATCGTGCTGGACACTGCAAGTGGGGATACAGAGTGTTTCCAACATATTTCTCAGTGCTTTGCTGTGTTCTTAGAGTTTTTCCACAGTATTATTTTTTTGTATAAAACAATGCAGATGGAGGGCAGAAAATACATATTCTTGTCACAAAAGGAAATCCCAGAGGAAGGAAGAGATGGAGAAAGACTGGTTCTGTCCTTTAAGAAAAGAATCAGTAAGAGAAGTAGCTGGCACATCGGGGTAAAGAACCTTGACCTCGAGCAGCTGGCTCTCAGGGGCACAGACCTATTATAAGCCATGCTGGGAAACATCCCACCATGCCTGTGGCTAAAAATAGGAACAGAGAAGCACCTAACACCAGCCTTGAGACACCCATTAGCAGACAAGGTTGTGGGTAGACCCCAGTGTGCAGAGCATGTTGGCAAGGTGTGTTGGTTGGCCCTTTAGAAGGCAGAACAAATGTGGAGGTCAAAGGACACCCTTGGCCCAGGGTGGCGGCCTGGTCCCTTTCCAGGTATGTCCCAGTGAAGTGTGGAGAGGGCTTAGGCCCAATTGGTCCTGCCATGGAATAGTGTCTGCCCCCAAAGACATGAGAGTATGGACTTTGGATTCAGGTTTGCATGGCCTGCCCCCACCCCTGCCACTGCACCCCCATTGATCAGGTCTCACTGTGGCTTCACCAGGGCCCTCGCCTGTCCAGGGTGTCTGCTCCTCAGCACCCTGACACCTGTGCTGGCTGGATGGGCCAGACTGGGTGTGTACTGAGACTGCGCACTCGTTTCTTTAAGGGAAGGCAGGGGGTTACTTCCCACAGGCTGGTCATGCAGGCCTCTGTCCAGGGAGTGTGTGCAGCTCAAAGCTGCCTACAGGACTGGGATTTAGCTCCTGGCAAGCGAGAGGTCCTGAGTTCAATTGCTGGTACCCCTGGCCCCACTAAAACACTGCACACTGCCTTAGACTGCAGCAGCCAAAAGGGCAGAGAGGGGACTCGTGCCAGTCAGTAGCCCTGGGCACTGTGTGATGTTGTCTCCCACAGTTCAACTGAGGAGACAGAGGCTCAGGGGCAGTGTGTAACATGCCCAGGCCGCCTCCTTGGAAGGCGTTTCAGTAGAGCCTGATGCAGGCTCTACTTGTAGGAAACTGCAGGCACCAGTGACAATGTGGAAGTTTTTTCTTTTTCTTTTCTTTTCTTTTGGAAAGGATTGGCTGCAAGCTGTGAAGCTGCACATTGGTCATGACTGTGATGTCCAGCAGGTGTGAAAGATGGGGAGAGGAGATGCACAAACAAGAACACTTTATTTCATGGTAGACTTTAGGATACTGGAGTCTCCTTCAATGCAGAATTTCCATGATAGGAATATATTAACCTTATAATTGAGCAAACATTTTTCATAAAATGGAAATAAAAAAGGACCTTGATCTCATGAGAGAAAATAGTAATAATAACAGGTGCTGTGTTTTAATGACACCTGAGCCATTCTACTGCTGATGCCAGATTTTGAATTTCTGAGTCAGTCACCGTTTGTTTCATTTGAATTTTAAACAGAAAGCAAAGCGTGACCACGTTTTGGCTCCAGATGTGAGTTTGGAAAGAGCAGTTCCCCGGCTCCGCTGCCCCTCCCTCCAGCACTTCCAAAAGTACTTTCTGGCTCCAGGGATGCCCGTGATCTTGGAAGGCGTGGCTGACCACTGGCCGTGTATGAAGAAGTGGAGGTGAGCAGTTGCCACAGCGCCAAGAGGTCCCTATCCTCGTCTTGGCATGTCTAGGACCCTCCGAATTCCTCCTCCTGCCACCCACAGCCACCCCAGCCCCAGCCCCCCTCCTCTCCTCTGTGCTGCCAGCCCTGGGGTTGGCTGCCTAGGAATTAAACCAGAATTGCGTGAGGTAGTCTGAATTTATGCTGGAGGGTGTAACAGTCTTCCCTTCCATGGCTGCTCACCCTGAGCAGATTTGTAATGCAGACCCACGTGGCAACCTCAGTAAGTCTATGAGGCATGTTGTAGGAGCTTGGAAATCCCACAGGTCTTCCTGGGTCCACAAGGCAAAGCTGAAAAAGAGCATGAGGAGGAGGTCAGATTGGGCCGCTGGAGAGCAGCGTGCATGCATTTGGCAGTGGGGAGATGCAGGAGCCCTGCACACCTGTGGGTCCCATGTCCTTAGATCCAACCAGTGCAGATCAGTCAGCTGTAATATTGAGTCTCATACAATTTAATAGCTACTTACACAGCATTTACATAGTGTCAGGTGTTACAAGTGGTCAGGTGTTAAGTCAGTTAAGTGTCTTAAATTATATAAGAGGGTACATAAGAGGATGTGCATACTGCTTTGTGTGTGTGTGTGTAATGGAGATTGAACCCAGGGCCTTCCCACTAAACTACATCCCCCTTATACCCACACACACTGCCACCATCACTACCACAACTTTTAGTTCTAACTAGCCTTGAACTCACTGTGTGGCCTGGGTTGGCCTTGAACTTACAGCAGTCCTCCTGCCTCAGCCTCCTGAGTACTGGGATTACAAGCAGGTGCCGCCACGCTGAGTTACGTTTTTTTTATTTTGAGACAGTCTTGCCAAGTCACTGAGTTTCTCAGGCTGGGCTCAAACTTATATGACCCTCCTGCCTTAGCCTCCCAGAGAACTGAGATTGTAGGTGCACCAGCATGCCCAGCCACCACTAAACTACATTTTACCCTCAGCATTTGGCCCCTGCAGGAGTCAGTCTTGGAACCTAACCACCAAGGTTACTGAGGGATAGGACCATGGGGAGGGCAGTGAGGGGATCACTCTTTTGTAGGGTGCGTGGAGGGGCCGCTGGCTGCTGAGGTTGTTGAGGAGGAATTGTGACCAAGGTGCTCCTGTCAAAATGCATATTGCTTGGTGCCTGGTGCCAGCACAGACACTTGCCATGTTTGATGTTTCTTGACCCTCTCTGGTTCCCGTGGGGTGAGCACTATCACCTTTCCAGCTTATAAATGTGAAGCAGGACTCAGAGAGATCCAGTAATTTGCTGAAGGTCCCATGGTCCATACCTGATGAAGCCTAAGGTCCAGAGCCTGGGCACTTGGCCACCCACATACTGCTGCTGTTTGTCCAAAGATTTCTCAGGTGAATGCCATGATGGGCACAGAGCAAAATAAGAAGGATCTGAGGCCAGCAGGGAAGCAGAGTAGCCCATAGACCAGATTTCCTGAGTCTCTGCAAAGCTACAGAATGCTGTCTAATAGCCGAGTGACTTTGGCCTTTGCGCCTAAGTTTTCCTGTCAGGACCGTGAAGGGTGACAGTTGTCTCTAAGGCGTGAGGTTTGTGAGAGCCCAGGGAAGTGTACACAGCGCACCCTCTGCATATGGGCGGCAGATGTTAGCCATGATGCTAACACTGACGGCCATGCGTGTTTTCCTCGTAGCTTGGACTATATCCAGGAGATGGCTGGCTGCCGCACTGTCCCTGTGGAGGTCGGTTCCAGGTACACAGATGAGGACTGGTCCCAGACCCTTATGACTGTCAATGAGTTTATCAGCAAGTACATCACCAATGAGGTACGTGACTTGGCTCCTTCCCTCTCCCTTCCAGAGCAGAGAAAGGGGTGCAAGGGTATGATGGCCTCCCACAATGCGGTAGGGGGATGAGACATCAGTCCAGGGGGCTGAGATCCATAGGCTGGCCAACAGGAGGGCAGGCCACCAGCAAAGCAGCAGGGCCGCATTCCCCAAAGAGTCAGACACCATCCTGTACTGATACATGCATACCTGTGTTCACAGCATTGCACTTCATACCAGCTACACTATAGACAGACAGCCTAGATGCCCATCAACAGACACATGTACAAAGAATATATATATATATATATATAATATACAGACACACATGCATACATACAGTAGAATATTACTCAGCCATAAAGAGAATGAAATCATGTCTTTTGCAGGAAAATGGACAGAATGTGAGAGCATAAGGCTAAATGAATAAGTAGACACAAATAGTTAAATGTTGCATAGTTTCTCTTACATGAGAAGCCTAAATGTAAATTAATTGAGGAGTAAAACAGGCCAGGCATGGTGGTGTATGTCTGTAATCCCAGCACTTGGGATGCGGAAACAGGAGGATTGCCAAGAGTTTGAGGTCAGTGAATCTGAGAATAGTATGAATTGCATAGCACAACCCTGTCACACACACACACACACACACACACACACACACACACACACACACACACAGAGTAAAGTAAAGGAGAGTTAGTAGGAAACAGGCAAACCTTTTGGAGAAGGGGAAGAAAATTGGGGAGGAGTAGGGAAAGGAATCAAAACTGGTGGAGTGATATATATGTGCCAACTCCCTAAAACAAATGTAGTAATTATATATCGCAAACATCCACTAAGAAAGTAAATAAATAAAAGACCCCTTGGAGCACTGGGAAGCCCAGTTTTAAACCACTGACCTCATCTATCTGATGGGTAGAAATTGTCACCAAATGGTAAAACCGATGTAGGCAAAGATGCAGGAAGATGAGCTTCTTTGCTGGTGGAAGCACAGACAGGTCAACTTTTGGGAAGCACGTGGCGGCACTGCTCACACTTACTGGCACTTGTACTTGACTCTGTTGTACTTTGGAATCCTGTACTGCCTAAATACAAGGATAGTATTTGGTTAGTTGCAACAGTATGGCAACACATCCTAAATGTCAACCAGGAAGGAACTGGTGAATTAATGGAACATCTTGTTTTTAAAACATTATTTATCCTTTAAAAGCATGAGCCAGATGTGTATGAGATTCGTGTTCTGTCCTGGGGGTAGCTCAGTGGTGGACCATGTGCTTAGCATGCACAAGGCCCTGAGTTCTTTTCTCCAGCATCAGGGCGAGAAAATAAGGAAATAACAAGTGAGAAAAAAAAATGTATATCCTCATTTTTACTTTTTAAGAAAGGTGGTTGTCAGGGCCTGGGGAAGGATTAGCAAGGAGGAGCTGCCCTTCTACGGGCACAGAGTTTCAGTTTGGCTAGAGAAAAGGAGCCATCCCTCGACAGGGATGGCTGTGCAGCAGGGTGAATGTGCTTCATGCTACAGAACTGGCTACTGAAAAGGGTGAAAATGTTAATTTATGTTATGTGTATTGTTAAAAATTACTTGTTTACAGCGGAAAAAATAGGAATGCAAAGCACGTGCGTTTGTTACATGAGGAAACACCCCGGGACCAGTGTCTAACTCAGGCTCCAGCATGGGAGGACATCGCCAGGATCCTTGTTCTCCCATCCTTTAGCCCTGTCCTGCTGGGAGGGCACTGGTCTCATCAGCCCCAGCGCAGAGGAGGGACCCAGGAAAACAGAATAGGGCCAGCCCCTACTGGCTATGGGGCGGGAACTGGGGGTACACAGTACCCAACTAAGTGGCATCAGCTTGAGAAGTGTCTGTCCTGACTAACCAAGCTCTCTGTTCCTTTGGTTTTCTCCTGCCGGGTAGGCAAGGGACATCGGGTACCTGGCTCAGCACCAGCTCTTTGACCAGGTGAGTCTGAAATCACTCTCCTCCTCCTTCACCCTCTCCTACCACCGTGCCTTCTCCAAGGAAGGAAGCCGCCCACTGACGATACCCTCCACTAGAAGCAGGGGTGCCCTCCTGGTGATAGCACTGTCCCCTCCTCATCACAGGCAGCAGGGGGCAGTGGCGTGCCAGGCATGAGAGGCTGGGAGTGCAGAGTCTAGAGACCCTGGATAGGGTAGCAGTGCAGTTTACAGCAGAGGGATGAGGCCACTGGCGGGGCAGGGCAGGAGCCCCAGGGCAGAAAGCCAGGTGTAGTCTGAACTGAGCAGCAGGTCCCTGAGAGCCAGCTGAGGGCACAGGCTCTGGGCTGACCACAAAAGGGGAAATCTGGGCAATAGTTTGGGTAGTGTCGGTCCCACGTACCAGGCATTTGTGTGCATGACCATCTCCCTGCACCTGGCCTGGGCCAGAGAGACCCTCCAGTCTGCTTCCTGCCGACTGGAGGGGAAGTTGGGATGGGCAGGGAGGACAGTCCTGGTGACAGGTGCCCCATGCACTGAAGTACCAGTAGAGTGCTACAGTATCAGCCAGGAGGGGCGTTTAGAAGAGCAATAACAGGAGAAGGTAGACATGGAAGCTGGGGCCAGATTGTATTTAGGGTTTGGAGAGCAGGCCCAGGATTCAGATTTTATCTGTATGCCAAGGTGCTCTGGAAAGCCTCTGAGCTAGAACTTCCCTGCAAGAATCCAGCAGGGCACAGGTAGCCGCAAGGGCAGGGAGAGGGACAGAGCAGGTCCTACCTGCTCCTGTTCTCTAGGCCAGCACTAAGAATGTAAGACCAACCCCAGGCCCAACCCATAGTTGTCCTGTTGGCAGGGTCCAGGTGGCAGGACACACAGCCGGCTGCAGCTCCACAGCCACAGGACATGGTGCTCATGGGGAGGGCAGGAATGATGGTTTAGGGCCACCTGATTGAGGTGAAGTGAGAGACATCAGGGCAGTAACTGCCTTAGTCTGTGCGGTGCTGCCCTAACAGAATACAGCAGACAAAGGATGTTACAAGCAACACATTGATCTGGCTGCCACTTTTAGAAGTTAGAACGTCCACGGTTGAGGGGCCACACCTGGCAAGGGCCTTCCCGCTGCATCACAGTGTGGTGGAGGGAGAAGCACACGAGGAAGTGGGTTACACAAGCCCACTCCCAGGGTGGCTGCCCTGCGCATGCAGTAGCTGCATCCGTCTGTGGATGGGGCCGAGCTCTTAGGGCCTCCTCACTGCTTAGTGGTCCCTGGGCCATGCACAGTCCTGAGCGCTGAGGTCTTAACAGTAAAGACAATATCACTTCCCTGCCCCAAGGGTCCTGGGAATCAAACACATCAGAGGGCTCTGAACCCAAAGAAAGTAAAAGGTGAGGCCTTCAGGAAGAAAGCTGGGTAATCGAGGGCTATACAGACCTGGTAGTCAAGGAAGCCTCTGAAGGAGGTGGTGTTTGCATGGAGACCCAAGAGCTGAGCAGATGCCAGCCCTCCAGGATAGCAGGAGATGGGCCAGGCAGGGAGGAGCAGCCTTGAGGTTCATTCTCAAGGGGCAGGGAAGCACAGTGCAGCCGAGCTCCGGGGAGCAGAGAGTGGGGCCTAGGCGGGGTGACTGCATAGGGAAGGGCAGTCTGATGGCATATAGGTGTGGAGGCAGCAGGTGGGCTGAGGTTATGCCCCAGGGAGCTAATAGGCAGGTAGAGGAGAGATTTAGGACACATGAGGACTACAAGCATTAGATGTCACGTGATGGACACACGGGGCAAGGGAAAGGGACCTAAAACGCCCAGTAGCTCACTGACATGACCTTGGCCATGGTGAGACCACAGGAATGACCAGGGAGGTGGCCACTGGCAGGATCTGGGGCAGGGCCATATGCACACCCTGAGCAGGACAGATCTGAGTCAGTCTCTGTAATTTAGGGCCAAGGCCCAGTGATGTGACTCTGCTGTTCTGTCTACTGCTGAGACTGGGGCTGCCACCACTCCTTCTCCTGAGCAGGACCTCTCTGATCCAGGTAGGGTTGTGCCAGACTCCAGCCTGTGTGTCTGAAGTGAAGAGGGGCAGGCGAGTGGGAGATGGGGCCTCTTCCCTAACCCCCTGCACTCATACCTGTAAATCTTGCCGTCTTACATCTCCTGCTAGTGAAGAAGAGAGATTGCTAGCTGGAGGCCCCAGCTACGTGATCCCAAGAGACCAACCCTGACCTCAGGTCTCCTGGGCACAGCATCCCCAAGTGCAGTCAATGGGCACTCTCAAGGCCACAGCCCTGGAACAGACACTGTACAGCCCTAGGACAAGAGAGGACACATACAGGAGTAGAAAGCTGAGTTTACATTTATTTTTAAGGTGAACCAGGGCTTGAAGTGGGTTTCACCCAATGTGGGGCCACTTGGGTCATTCCCTCTGCAGGGTCATTATAGAGCACCTCAGAGAGAAGTCAGGGCAGGCTGAGCTCTGGGTTTTTCATGCAGCATGGCACAGACCATTTTCTGGGACCTCTCCCCTATAGGAACCTTAGTGGCTTCCACCAGATTCTTGCCCAACAACTCATACTGACTTGGCCCCCAGAGACATTGCCTTGTGAAGCTTTTGGCTATCATTTTAGGCCTGTCTTTAACTATTAGTTACATCATGGGAGCATTCATTGTCTCTGTCTGATTCACAAATCAGCTTCTGATGTGATCCCATTCGCCAGCTGCCTTTCAGAAATCCTGATGATGTCATCAGGAACCAATCAGAGTTCTGCTCAGCATCCCATAGGGCCAGACTTGGTGCCATCTGAGCCAGAAGCAGGAGAGGGATCAACTAGGAGCCATGATTCTGAGAAACCTTTTGGAATCTCACAAGTAGCCTGAGGACTCCCTGCAGCACTGGAGACCTCAGACCATGAACTTGAATGTCACCCAAAGCAGTGGACAGAGCAGCCTTCTTCAGCCACATTGGCCACGTGAGACAGACTCTCCCAAAGTCCAGAACAGCAGCATCCAGGCCCACGCTCCCTGCAGGGAGAACTCTAGCCTTCCCAGACAGCCCCTGGTTTCCTGATCAGCCACTGAAATTACAAAAGTGAAGCTGGAAACATGGCAATAAGAAGCGGACTTACTCTTTGGACACATGGGAGGCCCCTGACAGCCCTATTTGCAATTTTCTTGAGCTTCAAAAGTATCAGCAGGTCCACCTAGGGACTGGGATACCTGGACGTTGGGTGGTAGGGACTGAGCCTGCTAGGAAGCACACTCCATGCCTCCCTAGGCTTGCAAAAGTAGGAAGCAGCACTCCATACCATGGTTATAAATGTCCTTACCCAGAGATGACAGAGGGCTTTGCAGTCCAAGTCTGGAGGAAACTAGAGGTCTCAGGAAGCAAGGGGGTACAGCGGATGCCAGTTTCTAGCTGCATCTCATCACACTTGCTCATCACTGTGGCTCCTGGGTGTGGCTGAGACAAGTGACCCCCTGTGTGGCCTCATACCACTGCCCCCACGAGAACCCAACTCCTCAGAGTCAAACCAGGCATGGGGAGCACAGCCAGCAGCTCAGATTAGGGGTGCCCGTTATACCTGCTCATGGCCGTGTTGCTCTGAGCTGGGTCACTGCTGTGCCCCAACAGAGAGTTTCAGTCTTTATGTATATGACTAATGGGAAACATTGACTCATTTTTTACTTAATTTGGGCTTATTTGTTAATGACAGTGAAGCCCTTCTAATCTGTCATCTCTCTGGTCTTGCCCTTTGATTATTTGTGAAATTTGTGGTTTGAGATTATAATGCTTGCTCTCTGATTTGCATGGACTCTCTGTATTAATCTGTCATTCACCAGAGCTAATTTAGTACTTTTCCCAGTTTATCGGTCTTTATAGTTCATTTACTTCAAAATATACCAATTGTGATTTCTTTGCCAAATTTTGGAAAATCTTCTCCTTCAGAGATCTGTTAAATATCCAATCCCATTTTCTTTTTGTTGTTCTTTAATTTGATTTTTGTTGAAAAGATTTGATTCTTTAGAAAATGATAAGCTGGTTTATATATATAAAACACTAATACTGGGTTTTAAAAATGAGTAAATCCATGCCACATGGAAACAAATATGAAAATTTTATAACTACTAATTTTTTCCTTGTTTTTTAAGTTTCTGTCTGTGGAAATCTGAATCAAGGAGGAGTGGTCCCCGCCGTGTGGGGGACGGTCAGCCTGTGGGCCCTGTGCCTAGGCTGGGTCTCAGCTCCCTGTATCTGCTCTCACGCCCACAGATCCCGGAGCTGAAGCGGGACATTGGCATCCCCGACTACTGCTGCCTGGGCAGCGGAGAGGAGGAAGAGATCACCATCAATGCCTGGTTTGGTCCCCCAGGAACCGTGTCCCCACTCCACCAGGATCCCCAGCAGAATTTCCTGGCCCAGGTGGGAGGTGCTGCCAGAACAGGGGTTTCTCTATTCTCCAGTCACATCATCCCCCTTTAAACACCAGGCTCTTAACTGGAGAAACAAGAGCCACTGAGGGAACTGGACAAAAATGAAAACAGAATATAGAAGCAGGTTAACAGGGCCCCTCTCGGCACTGGGCTGCTTCCGGATGGGGCTCACCTGGACTCCCCAGCACAGAGGCACTTCGAGGAGAAGGGGCCCCAGCTGCCACTGCCCCACTCTGCCATGCCCCTGCTTGCCATCCACGGGCCACCTTCCAGATACCGCCCAGGTGGCTCTTCGGGCAGTGTGGCAGAGTGCGTGTTTGTTTAATAGGCGGGGTGTGTGGCTGCCCTTGTAAGAACACTGTTCTTCACAGGCAGAGAGGAGGCTCAATAGATGGACACTCTGGGCGTCCTCTGGGCCTGTCCAAAGAGGCCATTGCATAGCTAGAGGCTGAGAGCCATGTCTCAGGAGCCAGGCTGTCTGGCATGACTTCAGCTTCATTTCACCCCTGCCTCAGTTTCCCCACCTGAAAAGTAGGGGTGATGATGAAGTGCCTGTGAGGGTTGTGAGGATTACTAAGTGATATGATTGCTGGGTACCGTCCAGAGCACCCTGTAGTTGGCAGCCATGATGAAGAGGCTGTTGGTGATGAATCTGGAGGGAAGCACAGTCCCAGGCTGTGTACACAGGGCAGGGCACACCAGGCACAAGGAGGCTGCCACGCTGAAAGGTCTCTCTCCCCAGGTGATCGGGAGGAAGTACATCCGGCTGTACTCCCCACAGGACTCGGAGGCTTTGTATCCGCATGAAACACACCTTCTTCATAACACAAGCCAGGTGGGCAGGAAGGAACCCAGGACAACGGGGTACCCTCTCCCCCAGTTCCCAGTGTCCTGAAAGACCCACAGTGGCTTCTTTTGCTTTCTTCAGGTTGATGTGGAGAACCCCAACCTGGAGAAGTTCCCCAAATTTGCCGAGGCCCCCTTCCTGTCATGCATCCTGGCTCCTGGAGAGATCCTGTTCATCCCAGTTAAATATTGGCATTACGTGCGGGCTCTGGATTTGAGCTTCTCAGTTAGCTTCTGGTGGTCATAGCTGCGTGACAGTGGGGAGGGCCTGAAACACACAGCAGTTCACTCCGCTGTGCTCTGGCCACAGTCAGTGATTTAGAGATAAGCGCTCTAAATCACACCTAAGTGGTGGCCAGGACACACAAGCCTCACAGCCCAGGGTAGTCCAGGTAGGGGGTGCATGCAGGAAATGCATGCTGCAGGCCAGGGGTGTGTGGCCGAGCAAAGCACACAGGAATGACCCAGGACACTCCAGGCACACAGCCCACCCCAGAGACTCAATGCCCAGAAGCTGAGGAGTGGGAAGCAGCTGGAAAGTGCAGGCACTTAGTGCATCCACTGGGTTCCACCTGTCTTGTTGCTGACTGCCGTGGCTTGTGGGCCCAGGCCCCTCCCTGCAGTGTCCGTGTCTCATCTGGAAGCAAGGGCAGTGCTGGTCCCTACCAGACAGCCCAGGGGATGTGTGTGTGTGAGCAGCACAGCTGTTGTCACCCAGCTCAGTTACAAAGAACGTTGCATACTTTCATCACTGGCCCAGGGCACCACTCAGCCTGCAAACTCAGGAGAGGAGGGTCCTTATCACCTGCCGGGCCGAGGGAGATTCCTGTTCTCATTACACAGAAGCACAAGCCACCTCTGAGATGCACAGAGATCTAGCCTGAGAGGTTTTCCAATGGGCACCCTCACCCAGCAGCTGGTTTGTGTCCAGGAGGGAGTGCCTGGTGTCCAGGGGAGGCCCAAGCCTCAGGCTGTGTGGAAATACTGGTTCTGTTTGTTTAACCTTTTCAGACTTCCTGGCCTCTGCATGAAGACAGGCAGTCCATGCACCATTGGCCAGAAACATCCGTTTCTCCCACACCTGCTGGGAGATATTTCTCAGTAGTGTCTGGGTTTTGACAGCATTGGTGCATACCAAGTGACTATGTAAAGAGGAATTCATTCCAAACCACTCACAAAAGGAGAAATTAAAGGCAAAACCCCAAAAAATTACTTTATGGAAATTTTATTCTTTTTAAAAGCTTCGTATAAATATGATAAAATGTTAAATCATTTTCAGTTCTTGAGAGCAATACATGGGTGTTTTTTTTAAAAATCAGTTTACTAGGACTCAGATATGCAAATTAAAGATGCCAACTAATCAGCGTAGATGTTTCCTGCTGTCAGGCTGTGTTGGGCAGGGGGCTCCTGCTGGTCGGAGTGCAGCCAGGCACAAGATCTACAGAGAAACCAAAACCCTGAAACCCTCAGACTCCTAGGGTGCCGCTCCCACTGCTGGAAATGCATCCTCAGGACCTGGGAGCCTGCTCGGGGCTGTGCAGAGGGATTACTGCATCCTGGTGTTACCTGTAACAGCACGAGGCTGGGGACGCTTGCCCTGCTGGTAAGCAGTAGCTCTGCAGTGCAGTGGGGTGGAATAAAGCTACTAAACAATTAGGGTGTTTCTTCTTTTTTAAAGTGTTTTCATTTGCATAGGGGAATTCTGTCATGTTGAGGGACATGCATGGTGTTCTCTTTAGATAGTGACACATCTCTGTGGGTACATGGACATGTACACAGCCCAAAGCATAAACTCCACAAGTGAATGTGTGGTTATTTAATTTTCTTTAATATTTCTTGTTCTGTAATTTTTTTCAATAATGTAAGTACATACACAAAAATTTATATAATTGTATTTTACACATCATTTGTTCAACCAAATTCCCCACTCCCTGTGGCAGGGCAGGCAGAGAGATGACACCTGGAAGGGAGGCACAGGATGCCACACTGCAGCAACAGGGAGCACACAGCCTTGGGAGGGAGACTCACAGGGACAAGACCTGTGTGGGAGGTGCCATAAGAGGGAAAGCCAGGTGGCAGTCACACAGAGGGATGCCAGGTTGGGAAAGCAGAGGCCAGAGCCGGACCTGGAATCACCAGGAAGCCAGGGAGGTGGGCCTGAAGGCCGAGGGACACGTGGTAAGCTGGGCCAGCTGGAGCCCGGAGGTGAGGAGGAGGCAGAAGGTGCAGCTGAGGTGCAGTCTGGCTTTCGCAGGCCCTGGGTGCCAGGTGGGCTGGGACACATTTTGTTGTGACAAACCCAAGTGGTTGAAGCAGAAACAACAGACATGGTGCACACAGCAGGGGCCTCTGCTGCTGTTCTCTACTTGGTGTCCCTCTTTTCCCCTCAAAGCCAGGCCTTCTCCCCCGGGGAGAATATGTCCCTGCAGGTGCAAACCCACATGGATCCTTCTAGCATCAGGAGCCCCAGGCTTTGCAGCTGGCACTGCTAAATCAAAATCAAGAAAACCTGGGAAAGTCCTGGTGGCCAGCCCTCAGGCAAGGGTAATCTTTGAGGTACACTGGAATGGCTGTCTGATTGGCCAGGCCCGGCTCCCAGGCCATCAGTGGGCGACTAGAAAGCCGATAGTGATGCTCGTGGAACTGCAGTTGTTCCCAACCAGATCCCAGGGCCTGCACTAGTAACTCACCCTCTTCCCCAACAGCAAGGACAACTGTGTGGCTCTAGCTTCTGCCAATGGCTGGGCCATTACAGTGCCATCATCTGCAGCTGACAGCCACTATGGCCAGGGAACAGGCTGGCCTGTGACTGATCTAAAGTGAGGCACAAGAGGCCACCGTCACATGCATGATATGGAGGCCTGGCTGCCTTGAGCACATGCCCCTTGGCAGACAGGCAGCTGGGAGAAGAGATCTAGTCCTGTAAACCAGACACCAGTGCTGCCGGGAACCCAGGTGTAGGGCTGTGGACTCCAACATCTACTCAGAACCCAGGCATCAACCAGCCATTCAGCACGAAGGCCCCCCCTGATACCCATCCTGGGGGGGCGGGGGCTGCCTGGGGGGGCTGCTCCATGCCACAGCCCCGTGCCGGAGATTGGTAACAGTGCTGAAACAGCTGAGGTTCCTCCCTCATAGTGGTACTTATGCCCACTGCAGGGCAGCAACCAGAGAGCTCAAGAGTCACATAGTGATGAGTGCCTCAAAGGCCACAGAATGGGGCAACAGGGAAGGACAGGTGGGGACGCAATGTTTCGATTGTTGACAGTGAAACAGAAGTGTGTGCAAACAGGAATCTGGAACTGGCATGAGTGCTGGGTCCAAAGCACTGCGGCCACGAGATAAGAAGGCCTGGCCAGGGGAGGAGACAGAAGACCCAGGGAGCGCAGGGCATGGGACCTAGGTGGAGAAACGACAATTCCATCCACTCTGCTGGAGAGGGGAAGGCTAGAGACCAGGAAAACGGAGTCACTCCCCAGGTGGGCACTGATGGAAGAGAGGGCGTGGAAGAGAAGGTGGGCAGGGGTGGTCCTGGATAGTGCACAGGAGTCCGGACTTTGGGTCCTGGCCAGGAGTGATGACACCTGTTGGTTAATGACCATGGCTGGAGATGGGAACTAGCAGCAGGAGGGCCACATCCCCAGGGCAGGGTGTGCGGAGGCACCTAACTGTGGGAATGCGCCTCCTGCTGACCCTGCAACCACGTGGCAGGATGAGCAGGAAGCTGGCTGGCCCAGCTGCTGGGACTTTTTGCTTTTCGTCACCCATTCTCTCACTGACACCACCCTGGAGACCCCACTCAGGGCAGGTAAAGGGTGGTCGCTGCTGGAGACACCTTGGCCTGCTGGAGGAAGGGAAGGCCCAAGTTGACTCTACTGGGGCAGGGCCCTTGTGACTGAGGACACTCTCACCATCCAGACCCAAGGTTCCAAGACTTCCTTTTCTACATCGGTTCTGCCTGGCATCTCGGCAAGCCACCTCCCACCCTTCCAAGAAACCTCTGTTCTGGTGAAGTACTGCAAGGTCTCTGCTGCCTGCCGACCATGCGGCCCCCTGAACACCCTGCAGACACTGCCCTGCTGGGCTGGGTAGCATCAATCATGGGGTGGGGGCTCAGAGGACAGTGTGGGGTCTGGGAGAGATGTCCACAGCTAGTTGGTGTCACTCGTCCAGCACAGCCCAGGGATGGCACCGTACTGTTCATAGAGCAGACCAAGATAGGGTATCCCTGCCCCATCACATCCACAGGTCACTCCCACTCTGGAAACTGCATCTCCAGTTTGCTTAGGGAACCTCCTCATCCCAGCCATGAGGCATGGAGGGACCATCCTACCCAGAGCTCAAGGAGAGCCTTGATTTCCCAGTGTCCCCTGGATTTGCCATCCATACCTCTGCAAACATCCACACTAGTGCTGAGAGCCATGCGATGTTTGCTAGAGGATGAGAGGAGTGGGGAGGGTGGGGCCTGGATGAGAACCCCTCTTCCTCTTAACAGCGGGATATGAAGGTGAGACCTGGAGGTATGGTATCCATTTTGTAGCTGTGAAAAAAGTGACTGGTCTTGTTGGGAAACCACCTCATAGGCCTGAGCATGAGGCCAACTCACAGAGAGGAGAGCAGAAGCAGGAATGTGACGGGCGGTGATATCACTTGAGCCACTAAAACAGTGATGGTGAACCTTTCAGAGCTTCAGTAGCACAAAGAGCCCACTGCAGCATGAGAACCAGAGGTCTGCCACCCTGCCCCGACCAAGGCCCTCCTAAGAGACCCCGATGGCCAACAATTTCCTTGTTGGAGTTGACTTTTCTCAAACAGCTAAAGGTTTTTGACAAGTTGGGTAGAAGACGACAAGGGACCATGGCAGGATGGCAAGTGTGGTGGCCAAGGGGTTTGGGCAAAGGGCAAGGCAACACAGTGGTGTGAGACCCAAAACACAGGTGGTAGGCGTGGTGGAAAAAAGGAAAGCAAAGGAGAGGGCACCAAGCCCATCACGGACAGTGGGGGAGACAAGGTATGAGACAGCCTCACTGTGAGTCTGTGGGTCATCCAAGGATCTCCAGCAGGTGGGGCATGCTGCCTGGCCTACGGGAAGAGCACACTGGCATGGCAGGGATGGGTGCCAGGGAGCAGCCTCCATGGGTGAGGGCTGGGATCCGGTCAGGGTCCAGGTGGACTGGATACCCAATGCAGGAGGGCCAGGGAGGCCGAGGGGGCATCTAGGCTCACTTGGGCTCCTGGCTGGGGCAGCTTAGGTAAAGACGCAGGTCAGCTCTGCCTGCAGGCCTCACATACCCTGGGCAAAGGATAATCCAGACCATGGGAAGCCAGGGTCACCAAGTCCTTGGGACAACTGACCAAAAGTGGGACTGTGGGAAAAGCCCTTTAACAAGGACAGTGCTGCCCTGGGCTGCTGTCACAGAGGAGGTGCCTGCTAGCTTCACAGCTGGAACCCAAGCCAAGGATTCACTTGTCACATCAGCCCAAGAAGGGACAGCCAGATGCAAACCCTCAGCATGGCTTTATTCCAAACCTGTCAACAAGGGACACCGACGAGGAGGGAGGCGGGTGTGTGCGTGCGCCATGTGGCATCCGCTTGCCTGCACAGGCAGGCAGGCCGCAGAAGATGGGAGCAGCCCTGCCACAGGCATGCTGGCTAATGCTGCCGGGATCGCATGGACTTCTGGCTGGACTTGGAGGCAGCAGCTTCCCTCTGCTTCTCAGGGTCGAAAACTTCTGCACACAGCACAGGCAGGAAGACAGTGAGCAGCAGGGGCGGGTGCTGTTTCCCAGGCTGAGCACTCTGTCCTGTTTCTGTCACATTCTCTACAGCCAGCCTGCCTTACTGCTTCCAGAAAAGCCACATGAGCCTCAGTTTCTGAAGAAACGGAGCTCCAGCCACAGCCTCTGCATCCAGAAAACTCCTGTGCCTTGCCTCTGGCTAGGCAAGTCAGCTATCCCTGCTGCAGCAGCCTGTCACTAGCCCTGACCTGTATGCACATGGGGTTTTTGGTCCCACCAGCCCAATTCCCATAGGCACCCAGCACCACCAACCTGGAATCTCATGGGGCCAATAGTCATTACAGTGTGGGCAGTGCGGTTCAGCGTTTGACTGGAAGTACTTGGCCACGCAGGGTAAGTGCATTCTGATGCCACAGGTTTCACAGCTCTGACCCTGAAAAGAATCCAGGCCATGTGGAATCTGCACACACCCTGAAGGATGTTTCACAAACTTTCAGGGAAGTGCAAAGAGATGGCCAGTAGCCTCTGCAGTCTCATCTCAGGACTCAAATTAACACTGCTACTAATCCCCCGGTCCTCAGAGCAGTGAGTTTTACTGATGAATTCTGGACACATTAGGTAAGCACACCTGTAATCCCAGCCATCTGAAGCAGGAGGATCAAAAGTTCAAGATAGCCAGGCCTGGTGGCACATACCTATAATCCCAGCACTCTGGAAGCTGAGGCAGGAAGATTGCTATAGGTTTGCAGCCTGCCTGGGCTATATAAGCAAGTTCAAGGCCAGCCCGCACTACATAGTGAGACTCTTCTTCAAAAAATTTTTTAAAAGTTCAAGGTACCTAGGCAGGGCCTATTGCTGGGTACCTTAGCAACTTAACAAAACCTGTCCCAAAATAAACAGGGCTATGGATGTGGCTCATGCCCTGGGTGGTACTGCAACAACCACCAAAGAATTCTGAAGATACAATGCAGTAGTAGCAGCTAAAGACTACAGGTGGCCACCAATCTCTTAGGCTCCCTTCACAGGGATCCTATAGGCACAGGTAGCCACAGCTTGGCAGGAGGCAACTGGCGATATGGATTGTAAGCTTAAAAAACAATGTGCGCACTCTGTCCAGCATCCCACATCCTAGGAATCTGACCTGTGCACATAATCCCTAGGTGCCCAGGGATACATGTGTAGAGAGGCCCATCCCAGAGACTGTTGTTACATAAAGATAAAATGAAAGGCAGGAAACACAATGTAAAACCCTGCAAAGCACAACATAAAGGAGATGACTCAGAGAAACAGTCCACACAGAAAGACATCACCAAGATAATACCAGTTACACAGGACCTGTAAGAGCCTTTCTGGAGAAAACTGAAATAAGAGCCCGTGGACTAGAACTGGGTGGGTGTGGGTGGGGTGGTGCACCCCGAGGGCAGCTGTGGGAGAGGCCCCTGCCCTGTCACCAGCACATGTGGAGGCTGCCCGCGGAGGCAGTGGCCCAGGAAGGCCACGCAGGGCCCACCCCTACCCATACCTGGATGAGGAGGCCGTGGCAGATGTTGCAGACCTTCACAGCATCGGGGTGCGTCTCCCGGATGTACTGCTCCATCTCCAGGATGGCCCGGCCGTGCAGAGTGAACTCCCCTTCTTTCTGCAGGGACACAATGCATGGCGGCTGTCCTCAGCGAGGGGCCTCGCTCCCTCTGCAGTCCCACAGCCCAGAGCCCAGGAGGACAAAAGGTCTGGATGTTCCTGGCCACTGTGGATTTTCACTAACCCCAGCCAACCGATGTCAGTGATGCCCCCTTGAAAGACCTCTGAGGCAGGGAAAATTGAGGCAAAGACCTAAAAGACAACAGAGGTGAAGGTCCCCTTGCCCTTAAATTTTCTCAGGACCTTGCTGTGTCTGGCAGAGGTGATTCTCCCATCTGTGGAGAAGCCCTGCAAACAAAACCCCGTCACAGACCTCCAGCAGAGCAGGCCACCTCCCCAGTGCCCGCTGCTCCTGCTCCCTCCCACCACACCCCAATATACTGCCATGGGGACCGGCACAGGGACTGAGATTACCTTACAGATGAAGTGGAAGGGTGCCAGAGAGGACAGGGATAGGTCTCTAATCCCAGCATGGGTGGCAGGGCCTGCCTCCAAAGGAAGCTGGGTCTCCTAGTCCCTTGTCTGGGTACAATGAAAATTCCCTGAAAGCCTTAGGGAACCTGGGGAGCCACTGCCTGTGTGGCCAGCGAGGGCAGAGCCAGTGCCAGGGGAACCTTGCAAGCTGGTTTTATGTTTTGTCACAATCAATTCTGAGGTGGGATGTGAGCCTTTAACCATTTTTGCTACTTCTGATCCCCTTCCATGTGGGGAGCAAGGGGGTACCTACATGGAGCAGGCATGATGGGGGCACTGATGCCCAGGCAAGGCCACCACCAAGGAAGGAACCCTACCTAGCTGGCCAAGGCACCCCCTCCCTTTCCGTTGTGGTCTAACTCCTACAGCTCCAAGAGCTGAGATTCCACTTCAGACCCTTACAGTCAGCAGCACCAGGGACTCTGGAAAGCCTGAGGTCCAGATGCTGGCCCCTAAACCTCAGCAGGGCCTCCAGGGCACCTAGCAACCCCGACCTGGCATCCAGGTGGGAAGAACAGGCCCCCTGTTGTGGGCTCGTACTGCTCTTCAGGGCCCAAACAGCAAGCAATAGGAGTCCTGCAAGCATTATCCAGGGCCAGTCTGAGGAGGTTCAGAGCACGGACTTTGGCACGCTAAGCCCTGCAGTGCTCCAGCTGCAGCAGCTCACAAAGTCCCTGTCTACTCAGTCACTCCTGGCCTGGGCAGCAAAGGGCTCGATTAGCTAAGACCCAAGCTCACAGACCCCTCACAGGGTGGCAGAAGCACTCACGGATAAGACACACATGCCAAGTTCCCAGCCCTGCCCACACTCTCTGGGACCTTTCTTGCCCCTTCCTCCCAACAGGCACCTCAGGATCAGAATTCATGGAAACCGCAGGGATGGCATTCACATGTATGCAACTCAGAGCACTAGAGATGAGCTAGAGGCCAGCTCCACTGGAGGGAAACCAAGGGCTGCTGGGGTCACGAGCACAGCCTCCAGCCCCAGCTCCAGCCCCAAGATAAAGCCAAGGCCAGCACATCTTACAAACACATGCAGTGCCTCGGAGGGGGCAGAGTGAGGCCAACTGGACCCATGCTGAGCTTGGCTCAGGGTTCCTGGAAGCAGTGCTGCCTTCTTGGAAAGAGAACAGAACCCTGCGGCGTGCTTCTATCACCAGCCTGCTCACCAGGCAATCCTGCCCACACTTCCTCAGCTCCTGTCCAGGGTGCCACACTCCTTTTTGCTCCTGAAGGGCCACTGTCCCCCACTGCCCTGGATAAGAGAACGCTGACACAACACTATGAAGACCAGAGCAGGGAAGCAGGCTGCTGTGTGTGCTGCGGCCTGGCACTCACTGCCTCACTGCTGTCTCCTTCCTGCTCCCCCCCCACCCCAGGAGGCGGATTTTATTTCTCCCAGGCACCACTGCGATGAGACTCAGCTCAGACACCAGGGCCGTGCTTCAGCACGGACTGACCCTGCCTCAGTCTAGACCAGAGGCTCAAGGGACTCTGGAGCAGGAAAACCGGGATGCAGCTCCCAGCTCTGCCACTCCTGGCTTGGACAGATTATGTCAGTAAATGGGGGATACAGGTTCTCCTCACAGGCCACAGAAAGCATGAAGAGGGCCTAGCTCAGCTGCCACCAGTTAGAGACAAACGTGGTACGGGAGGAAAAGTTTCGAGCAAGCCGGGAGGCCCCAGAGTACCTCTATCAGCCACTTGCTTTGCACAAACTTCTGCAGCACTTGCTCAGCTTCCTTCTTCTTCATCTTCTTGCCTTTCAGTTGATCAACCAGGTTCAAAATGTTTGTGGAAGATGCAAAGCCAGTTTCTGAGTCAATAATCAGTTCCAGCTAGAAGAGACATCAGGCCCCATGTTCATCCCTTAAATCAGCAGAAACCGCTATTGAGCCATCAGCCCAGTTCTAGAAGGGATGCAGCGAAACTGCTCCCATCCCAGGAAGCCCTGCACCCTGGTACAGTCTTAGAGAAACAACTTCATAATGTGCGTCAAAGGGCCATAAGTCCTGCCCTACTGACTCAATGGTCACTCTCGAGACGTCATTCCACAGAAGTAATCTCAATGTTCAAAACAATAGACTTTGCCTTGCCTCTTTCCCAACCCAACCCAAAGGAGAGAAGATGAGAAGTGAATGCCTGAATGAAGGAGACAGCATCTTTCCTCACTCAGGCTGGAGGGGCTAGGAAGGCAGAGGAGCAGAGCTGGGAGGGCCAGGAGACTGTGCAGGAGCCGCAGAGGCCATGAGGACACAGGGCCTGGCAGAGCAGGGCAAAAGCCCGTGGAAACATGGGCCTCCTTGCAGCAAAAGTGTGTGTCCCTCATCCCAGAGCCTGGTTCTCAACCTGCCCTGCTGACAGCCTCCAGGAGTCTTTAGAATGACTGACTTTGTCCCCAGAGATTCAGCTTCAACAGAGCCAGAAGGGGCTGGAAGAAGTGGCCTCGGTTTACCTCCCCAGTGACTGCAGCGTGCTTCCTGGGCCAGGACCACTGTGCTCAACCCAGGTGTTGACTAAGCAAGCTCGGCAGAGCAGTGCAACTCAAACGTGAGCGTGCAGCGCTACGTTAACATGTGAACTCACTCACCAGCATGGGTGGGGACCAGGAGCAGAGTTCCCTGATAGCTCCAGGCCATGCTACCACTGCTTCCCCACCCCGGGGTGGGGTGGGGGTGCTCTGGGTAGCCAGGCAGTACCACTCTCCACTCCCCTCGGCCCTGTCACTTATCGGGTCAGGGCTCACATCTGAGCCAGTGTGCCTTCCTTTCCCAGGCTGCTGTGACAGCCTGCATCTGCCCAGGACCCTTGGAGACGGCAGTTTCTATCTAATGCTGGAGACAGAAGTTTCTCATAAGACATCCAGCCATCAGGCAGTGGCAGTTACTCCACTCCACTTACAGCCTTTCTGAAGAGATCCAGTTCATTCTCTGCAAAATCTGTGGCCATTTTGGAAACTGAAGTGGTAGCAAGATTCACCTAGGGGGAAAAAAATAAGTCATCACAACAATCAGACCTAATATTTTAATTCAGTGCTGGCCACCCCCTCACTCCCCGCTCAGCATGAGTCAGGCAGCAGCAGCTCTTCCTCGGCACAGGTGGGCCACTTGTCTAAGGTTGCTGTTCCAGTTCCCCATAAATGCCACTAGGGGGCAGTGTTGTGCACTTACCAGCGCATAAATGGGTCTCCCGTCATCTTCTGTGACTCCCTTCTTTATCTCAATATACAAGGACTCCAAGACACTGTTAATGTTGTTGATGAAGTCCTCCAACTTGTCTACTGGAGCATTGCCTGGAAATAAAGAGGCAAAGGGGGAGAGGACTTCATCAAAAAAGTGTAGCTGGTATTAATCTTTCTGTGGTATCTGAATAGAAGGCAGCCCAGCCAGAAACGGGCAAAGGTCCTGCCCTCTTGGGTGAAAGCCAGCATGTTGTGGTTATTTTCTTCCTGGAGTATTTAAAGACTAGCAGACAAGAGATGAAGGGTGTAGTGAGCAGAAGATGCTATCTGTGATGCCAAGACTGCCTTCTCTTCCTGCTCTGCTCACCGCCCCCATCTGCACCCCCGCAGCACACTCTGCCGCCAATGACCACTCCCAGCGCGTGCCTTCGCGGTTCTGCAGTGAGTTCCCAGATTTCCCACTGTGTCCCCGAGTCCCCAGTGAGGCCTGCGTCCCTGCACATCCTCACGTGGCAGATCTAGCACTGTTCCTTTCCCCCTTACTCAATATCCAAACATTAAATGAACACCTGCAGGCCAGCCCAGGGGCCCCAGTGAGAGAAGAGGCCCACAGGAGCAGGCATGGGCAGTAACGGAGCAATCCTCCTGCCACCTTCCTCGGCAGGCCCTGGCGCCATCACTGGGTGCAAGTGAAGAGGCTGTGAGCAGCGTGGTGAGCCAAGAGTCACAGCGCCAGGCCTGGACAGAGCCCACTGCAAGCCCAGAAAGCCTGGCTCCAGCACCGAGCTGGCATGGGCCCACCAGGTGCATCCCACTGTTCCATCCGCAGGAAGCTGCATCCCAGGTCGCTGTCCAGACCAAGGGTCATGGAGGGGTCCCTCCAGAGGCCCATACTACAGGTGAACCAAGGAGTTGACAGCAGTTAGCTAGGGCAGGAAGGAAGGAAGGAAGGTGCTGCCAACAGGGGGAAATGAGACACAGCTTACGTGGTGCCCTCCAGCTGGGGATACGTGGCCTTTCTCCTGAGGGCAGCAGAACCTCAACACTGAAAGCAGAAGAGATACGGCCAGCTCTGCATCTTGGAATTACCCTTCTGTGCTTCAATATGCTTTTAAAAAAAAAAAAATCTGTATCTCTTTATTGAAGCATAATCTCCATCTATATCCACATCCACGTATGAAAATAAAACACACAGCTCGATGACTTTTCACAAACTGCACGCTCACATGACCAGCTCCTGAATAGAGAAGCAGGACACACCATCCCCCAAATCCTCTCATCAGCCCCTGCACCTGAGGTAACTGTACTGTGATACTCTCAAGACCAAGAGTAGGTACTACTGCTTTCATTAAAATAATTTCAAAAGATCAATGTTTTCCTCAATCACAAAATGTTACCACTAATGTTAAAAACCATAACAGAACCAACAGGAAAGAAGCCTGGAAGGTCCCCCTACCTCTCAGCTGATGACCAAGGCCACCACTAGGAAAGGGACTCAGAGAAGGGAATCATGGCAGCAATCTTGGGTCAACATCTGACTTACAGAGAACGCACGTCTAAGCTACTTGAATACCTAAGCTGCAGTTTAAATGAAAAGCGTCACACTGGTGGCGGTAGAGGACAGGGCCATGTAAAGGAAATGGTGACAACTTAGGCCCAGGAGCTCTACCACAGGGGCTGACTGACAGACCACACAGTATCACTAGTGTGCAATTCAGCCAGGGACCTAATTCCCCTTTTAACGAACAACTGCTTTTACTCTTTCCAAAACCAATTTAAATAAGAAATCAGCAACAACAAATAGGTAGGAAGTGGATGTGACACAGCTGTGAAGGAAGCAGGACAGTGAAACGCAGCCCTGGCTGCTGGAAACTGGCGTGAAGGGAGGTCTAACACGTTCCCAACTCCACCCTGTGTCCCCGCTGCTTCCTTGCCCTCCCAGGAGGCCATGCAGCAGGCGGCCTTGTCTATGAAGTGCTTGCCCTCCTCCCCGTGCAAAACCCTGGGCCCGTCCTTCTGCACAGTGCTTCTTCTCAGGCCTGGTCCTCCTGCACCTCTGTTGTGCCTGGAGCTCTCAACCCCAAGAAGCAACCCAACTCGGGGCCAAGAATTCAGGAAACACCTCTCACTGGGCAAGCAACAGAATCCTTCATGGGCAGAATGCACCCTGTCCACCCAACATAACACAGTGGCAAGTCCTGCCTCTCCTGGAAGTGACAATTCACATTTTCCACTGAAGAGGACCCTCCTGAGTGTCATCAAGAAAAATATACTCCGTGGGCAGATCAAAGGCATTCTAAGCTGTTGGACTTTCCAGACACCCCGGTCTGTGTGGGGACAGCCAACAGCCCCTGCTGCCCTGCCATCCCACCACCTCAGCGTTCACTCACAAATATGCGCTCACTATACTCTCAGAGAAAAGGAAGGAGGGAAGAAGGGCGGCACCGTCTACTGCTTCTGCAATAACCAAGCATCAGCTCAAGTCTGCCCAACCAAGGCCTCCCCTCCACGCAAACCTCCCAGCAGGGTGAGGTCTGCATCTTCCTCCACTGGCGACCTTCAGGGGCTCCTCACGGGCACCCTGGGAATGAACTTCTCCTGCTTGCCAGCCTGCCCCCTTCTTCAACTGGCTTTGCTTTCTGGTGGCAACAGGGACAGGATGGAGGACAGCACCAGAGGCTGGGCTCCAGCCCTGTCCCACCCTCGCCTCTCTCCCTTTCCGCTCTCACAGCCGCATGCCCTCTTCCCTCCAACCTCAAACCACGCATGTCTAGCTCACTCTTCCCTCCAGCCCTCTCCCTGCACCCACCCCAGACTCCAGCTGCCAATTCCCAGGTCCTGATGCCCTCCTGGACAGAGCTCCTGAGCAGGGCAGCCAGGCCCCCGGCCTGCATGCCCACCCCTCAGGCCCTTCCTCACCACATGGCTCTCCAGTTACCGAGACTGGCCACCCACACAGTAGTTAGTCCCTGCCAATGATCAGTCACCTCTGTAGCAAGACTCTGACCTTTCTGCTTTTAACTGTACATACATATGGATATGGTGGGTCCCCATATTCGGGGAGCCCACAAGCAGGAGCTGAGGAGGCCACAGTCTGTCAGCCAGGAGTGAAGCCAGCACTCACACCAGCCAGTCAGTCAGCCTGCCACACTGAGCAGGGACAGTTTCCAGTCAGTGGCTACAGAGAGGAAAGGCTGCTTTGGCCGTGAGGTGCTGCTGCACATCAGGCCCACCCCCAACACGGCCCCTAGATCCTAACTGGTCCTGCATCCCTCTCCGAAGAGCCACATTCCTTTCTTAGCTGGCACACTGAAGTCCCCGGTTTGCAGGTGGCATCCCTGACACACCCATTGAGTGTCAAGTTACAGCAGCCTGGGGCTTCCCTGGGCTTCCCAATCTTCAGTCTTAAGTACTAGCTGAGGCTCATACTTCTGTCTCACTCCATCCCATCCTTGATGCCATGATGGAGAAGCTGCACTTTGTAAATCTGCAGGGTCACTGAGGGCTACAGACACTTAGCCCCAGTATTACTGAATCCATGGTCACATCAGATGCATGAGACAAACTGTGTATCCCACAATGCTGAGGCAGCTACTGCCAGTGGAAATGCCACTTGGTGAGGCTTAAGGAAGTAATACAGCTCCTCTCATCAGAATCTAGAACCAACTGAAAAAAAGGTACAGGCTTCGGCAAGTACAATACCCACTGTTGTACAGGCAGAGCTTGAATCAGAGGCTAATTCTCTGGACACCACCAACATGCAGTAGGTTACATGGAGTACCTGGTGACAAGGAGGAGGGCAGGCCCTAGTCCTACCGCCTCTACCTCTGCTCAGGCAGCAGACATACCCATCCAGGACAGTTAGGGTCATGTTTGCCAACCAAGGGTGAACCTGTACCCTAGGCACCACCTGTGTTTTCTCTAAGTATAAGCATGTGTTTGCATTTCTCATGGGCTGTGGGAAAGCAGTTGGCCTGCGAAAGTCTGTAATTCTCCTTACTGTGTACACAGCACCACTCACTAGTTCGGTGTGTTTTGTCATTGTAACACAGCCCCTTAAGTGTGCCATTAACATCATCTTTATATATAGATGATATTAATCTTGCACAGATCTTGAACAGATCAAATAACTTGCTCAGAGTTTCCCTAACTTGGAAATGGAGCCCAGGCCTGCCTGACGACTGATCGCCAGCCCCCGGGCACTAAGCCATGCCGCTCTGCAAGCAGATCTCAGACACTCCTGACACCAGACCCTCCACAGGCATACGGCCTCCTGCTCATGACCCTGCGGCATCCCAGAGAGGGCATGGCCGGCACAAAAAGATGGAAAGCATCTGAGCACCTAGAAGGGCGGCAGAGGCGCTGCTAAAGGGAAGGCAAAACATTAGCCAGGCCAGGACACCTACATTGGCCCAGCGTCACTCACTGGCTGGTCCCTGTGCAGTCAGGCCACCCCGCACAGGTGACCAAGGGAAGGTGAAGGTCTGGGAGAGGCTGTGATCCTTCTTGACTTGGAAATCCTGACAACAGGGGCAACTGACACATGGGCCTCCAGAAAGTGGACAGGCTGGGGTGGCCCAGACCAAACCAGGACTCCTCTGCTGGAGACTAGAAGCTGCATTCATTCACTTCGAGTGACTGTTTTTTCTGGTTGTGTAAATATTTTCTTTTCTCAAAATTAATCTTTACCAGTGAACCTCTTCTCACTGAATCAGGGCTCCTGGCTCCCAAAGGTGAGCAGGACTGTGGGCTTACTTCACATTTGAACAGGTACTCGGAAAGTCTATTGCCCTAACTTCTCATCAACAAATAATTTAATTCTAAATTAGGGACCAAAAACAGAAAATGCTATTATAAGGCAGACAACTTGGGGATCCAATGTGCCCTGAAACAGCACTGAAGAGGGACAGGCCAGGACCTGCACTGAGGCTGTGTGCTGGGGTACAGGAAGGCTGGCAGATGGGATGCGGGGCCAGAGGAATACGGAGCAGCTGCAAGATTTCACCTCTCAGCCTGCAGCTCTCATCAGTCCTAGAGGAAAATATGATCTCAACCTTCGGATACACGGTGCACAGTGAGAGCTGCCAATGGCACTTCTAGAGCGCAGCTGT